CTGTACCCCGACTCCCAGAGCTCTTCAATAAAAGCACCCATATAATCATTCAGTGATTATGTGTTTTCTACGCTAACAATATCACATAAGTATATGCTGAATTTCAAGCTGATGAATTGTCCCCAGTGTATTTTTTTTCCTACCTATCCGAACCTTAACTTGTTTTATTGGTTTTACTTTCACTTTGCTCTAACCTGCACACAGATCAGGCAGAATTCCAAGCTTCCTTTCAGGTAACTGTAGCAGTAGAGATGAATAATACCATGAAAATTTCTGCTCCTCATGTACAAACCTTTACAAAAAAACAGGGAAACTTCACAGGCGTGCTAAAATGCTTTGCAAGCTGCACAGATGGAGCTAGGACTAGGCTGACCTCAGCTTGTGCTAGGGCAAGATTAAGATAAATCAAGATAAAAGCGGCTATATCAGACCCCTGTCAACTGATTTCACTGCCACTTGTGAAAACCTCTGCCTAAAATTTTTCCCACAATACAGTGAGATATAGTAAAGCAGGACTCCATGTGTGGCCTCACCAGTGCTAAGCAGAGGGGGAGCATCACCTTCCTTGACCTGCAAAGTCAGCCATGGAGTAAGAAATGCCTTGAGATGGTTTATTTCTAAAACATGGGAATGAATGGTGAAACCTGTGAATTTATATGAAAAATGTGGTGGGAGACAGCTCTTGGGGAAGATTTGGCTCCCCGAGGCCCCAGGGCTTCTGTTCTGGGCGTGGTCCCTGACAGCTGTGACATCACAAAGGAGTCATTGTGACCCCTGTGACAACAAGCCTTAGAGAGGTGTGGGCCAGCCCTGAAGGGCCACATTGCCTGGCCTCATCTGTCGAGGTCAGACATGTGCAGATGGTGGGACAAAGGACCATTGGGTGCCTTCTGAGGGCACAGCACATTACTTGGACACTGGCAGCACACCGGGACCAACCTGCCACACATGCAGGCTCTATCTGCCATTGCTGAGAGGCAGCTCTTTAGTGAGAGACTTGGGTACCTTTGCTGCTGGCAGCAGATTGCATCCCCAGGACAATGGGACACATTAGTTTCTTAATTTATTGGTTTGCAGAGTGCAATTGGCCTTCGAGGAGGACTTGGTAGAAGGTGACACCTCCTCCCCTGCTGCCAGCAGCAACCAGGTGCACCAGGCTGCACCTCCCAGTGATTCTGAGTACCTAAGGTGCCCAATGTACCTG